ATATCGTAAAATACAGATTAATCTTCCCTAAAATTTTGAAGAAATCCTTGGAAGGGGCGAAGCATGGGCAGGTCAGACAGGAAGAATGAAGGGAAAGATAATACATAAAATCGATTATATTTTATAAGACCTAAACATTACTGAATTTAATTATCTATATAACAATTTATTAAACAAAGATTTATACATTTTACTTCTCTAGTATTTTTTTTTTAAAGTTTACATAGTTACATAATTTAAAAGCACACATTTAGTGCCCTGTGCTTAAGTATTTGGCATATTTTTGAATAATTTTATTCTGATGCGCAATAATGTCAGTTGCCATAATTGTCTAAAAATCAAAGTAAATAATTGTCTTCTTTTTTTATAATGATTTTTAAATAAATACTTGCCGTTCTTCTTTTTTTATAATTATTTTTAAATAAATACTTGCTTTTCTTCTTAGTTTAGAATATTTTATTTTTGAATTACATGACATAATATCACTTACTTTAATTTATTCACTCCCTAATGTCAATGAAAATGACATAAAAATTGCTTTCTTTTAAAATTAAGTTTTCTTATATCTTTTGTTCTATTTAAAAAATGATAATAATACATAAAAAATAAAGTTTCCTTCTTTTCGAAACTATTAAAGTCCATAATTTCATATATTGTGTGACAACTGTGTTTTCAAATCTATTTTTTACTTCAAATCTGGACTAGCTCTAATGACTGCAGAGCAAGAAATAACGAAACAATTAATGGAACCTGAAGGACTCAAAATGTTGTCCAATCATTTTGCCAAATCTTCAAGAAGAATGATTTAAGTCTAGGTTGTTTTCTGTATCAAAGCATTTAATATGAGCTGAAATGTATGTTTAGTGCTTTATATAAGCAAAATCAACTTTATAACTCCTTTAAAATCTTATAATTGTTTTAGAATATAAACTGAAATAACTTTCTTTTTTGCATTTTATTAAAACGGTTAATATTTTTACATGCTTGAGAATTTTATGCATTTTGGTTTCGTTATATATAATTGTGTTCACATACTGACTGCAATTTCAGTTAATACTTTCGTTTAACTTATAAAACATTTTTAGTAGTTAATTTTAACGAAAATAGCAGTAATAAATAGATTTGTTCTAAAGGTTCAATAAATATGTATTTAATTTTTTTCATTTGAATTTGTATAAATGTTTTGAAATGCTGTCATTTCTTTGGAGTAGGTATTACAAATGTAATAATATAATGACAATATTACCTTCATTAAATGAAGAAAAAAAGATTAGGATGTGATGAAGATTTGCTAAACCGTTATATTTTCTGATTCACTAATTAATTCATAATAAAATTTCAATCAAAAGTTTTCAAATATCATTCTGTTTTTAAATTTTTTTTTATAAATTTATCATTGTAAAATAAAAATGTTACTGACATCAAGAGGCGACCTATTAATATCAACTTTTGTTTTTAAAATATAGCAAATTCTAAAAATAAATTCTTGTGCCTCCCCCCCCACCCCCGAAAAAAAAATATATAATTCTTCACGGTACTCCTATGCGTGAGGGAAAAGGCCTAGTCTCTAAGAATAATTTCACCTTTCTTTCTCCTCTGTTTACATGAATTTCTTAAATGAGCAATTAAAATTTACGATATCGTTAATTCGTTTCAAAACATATATTCGTTTCAAACATATGTTTGAGACGAATTTCGAACATCACAAAAAATAAAAATAAATGAAGAATAGAAAGAAACTATCGTTTTCAACATTTATTATGTTTTGAAACATAGATCACCGAAAACAACTTGAGCCAAAGTACACAGAAGTCTACGATATTAATTTACGATATTGCCCCAACATATATAATCATCAAAAAACTATTGTTTTAAACGCTTATTACATAGTATATTGTGAAATATTGATTATCGAAAGCCATTCGATACAGCGTAAACAGAATTCTAAGACATTGTTCGTTGTTTTTGAAAACGTTACAGTTTACAAAAACAACTAATATTATTACAATTATGCGTCTCGAAGAGAGAATAATGTCTATTAAAAAGATTAAATATTCTCCAATGAATGGCTTAAATTCTAAAGATGAGAGCGTGGCTTAATTTGTTGCAGCATGACTTCTTTTCGAACAATGGGAACAGGATTCGATAAGTCAATATTATCTTAATAAAACAGCCGATGTTATTCTTCTCTCAATAACAATGTTTATAAATATGGATCATTGATCTTTTTCAGTAAATTCTAAGAAATTTGGCTTCTTGTCTATTCATTTTTTACTTCGCTGAAATTTCTTAAATTTGAGTGCTCTGAGCGCAGCTTTAATGGGTGGTGTTTTCAATATAAATGTAAAGAACAACAATCTCGAACTCTAGACCTGCTCTGCTTCCGGTTAGAAAGTATACAACTGCTTATTACAGCTTACTCTGCGAGGCGATATTTTCTAACACATAATTTTGTTTTTAATAAAAAAATTATATAATTTCTGAGCTCAAATTTGCTGTATTTCATAAGATATAAATGATATTAGGTAATTCTGGCAAGTTGGAAATGAAAATTTGTTTTAGTTATTTAGAGATGTATTAATAAAAAGGTGTTATCTTGTTAATCAGTCTTTGTTCTTGGTGCAAACCGTGCACCATCATACGCTAGTGTAAGCATATTGCTCGAGCAGCGAGATTAAGTTCATTTTACAAATTAATATTTTGGTTTAAATTTCGAACTTAGTATATTTTTAACAAAGTAAGAAGTGTTTTATAACTTTTCTTTTTTCAAATGACAATTCTTAAGTCTTGAAATTACAGGTCTTCAAATAACGATATTTCTTTTAAGCACAAATAATAAATCAGGTAACAAATGCATGTGTACAAGAAATGCTACTCAAGAGAATCTCGATACACAATGATCAAGTTTTCACTCAAACGACTTCAAAACACACCAAAAACAGTAACCCGGAAGTATATAGTTTGTCTATAGAAAGAACTCCCCTCGCCACTAAGGCCATCTGCTACCATGGAAACAAGAAATAGAGCATTTCAAAGAAGGGAGTTTCTTCTCCCCCCGATTCCCTTTCTCCCGCCAGCCAGAGTCACAATCTGTCTTAAATAATGAACCAACTTGAATAGTTAGACCTCGTAATCATAGTCATCACCACCACTCCAGACGAATGGATAAGGGAGTTCTTTATATAGACAAACTATAGGCAGTCAAGAGCTTGCAGTGCTCCCTAGTGTAAAGAACACCATCCGGTGTTTTCAATATCAATGTTAAGAACAACAATCTTCAGCTCTCAACCTTTTCGACTTCCTGCTAGAATGAATTGCTTACTACAGCTTATTCTGCGAGGCGATATTTTCAAACGGATAATTCTGTTTTCAATAAAAGAAAGAATTTGTATAATTTCTGAGCTCAAATCTGCTACATTTCGTAAGATATTAAGTAATTTTGATCAGTTTGAAGTGAAAATTTATTTTAGTTATTTATAGATGTATTGTTAAAAAAAGATGACATGGTTGTTAGATTTAGAAAGAAGTCGCTATTTTGGCAGTTCAGATTTGGCCTCTTTTTTACTTGTTTATAAATGTTTGTTCTTGTTGCAAGCTGTTCGAACCTATGTGGCTCAGAGGTAATCCTCTGTAGAGTAGTAGTTATACTTAATTACATCGTAACGTAATGGATGCTAGAAATGATCAGTGCGCGGTAATGAACTGGGAAATAACAATGAGAATGATCCAAAGATATGCTATTGAAATTTTGATCCTCTGCAGAGGGGATGGCTCCCTTGCGTTGGTAGTAATACGACCTGCACGCGAAGTCAAGAACTTTACAGTAGAACCGTTTAACGAGGTCCGATACCGCGCACCTTCGGTCTCTACGCAGGCTGCTTAATGTGGTCACTCACACCCACCCGCTTACTGATCGCAGGCAGTGAAGCTCGACTTCGATGTTGCATTTAATGGACTCTTGCATTTAATGGGCTACATGTTATCAACACAGAAATTGCGTATTAAGTTCATTTCGTAATTGCCTCCATAATGTCTACTTCTAGATTCTTTGTCAAAAATTATGTAGGAAAAAAAGTACTAAAATCGAGGACAGCAAATTAATATTCAAGAAAGTTTGAGTCAAAAACGTTATTTCGCGAAATTGCTGATACGGGCAGAGGTTGGACCAAAACAAGTTTGATTATCTGATTAAACTTGAAAGTGTTTCTAATAATCATCTTTAAATTGCTCAGTTTAACTATAAGCAAATAATGATGATGTCTTGATGATTAATGTTAAAGTTTTTCTCTCCTTTACTAATGAGTTGCTATTAGCTGAAATATCTACTTATAAAAAAATCAACCAATAATTAATTATCACAATTTAATTGTATCAGAATATTTGAGAGACTGGGACAGAAGGAATTAAGATAATATTTAGAAATAACTTCTTTCAGCGATAGTTTAATAATGAATTTTAAAAGCAGTATTAATCTAAATACATTTTTAGTTAAATTTTATTTTTTGTAGCACTTTACATTATGTTTATAGTTTTTAAATATCACAAACCACTTATGCGTTTTATTAAGAAAATTTATTCCAGACCTGGTCCTTGTGTAATGAAATATAGTTAACATTAAAAAACACCAAGTAGTATGCCTCTTTTGGGCTAATATTAACTCCTAAGTTTTTCCTACGAAATAACTGCTTAAAGAAATCAGATGTTTCAGTAATTGATTCTACAAAATGTTATTAGTACACAAGCTGAAATCAACTTAAATGAAAATAAACGGGTTTCAAATAATAAAAGCATTTATAATTATATGTTTAGATTCTTTTTTTTATGTTTCACAAAAAGATGCCAATTTTGTGAAAATTTAGGCATACTTTGTGAAAATTAAAATAAATCAAAACAAACATGCGCACAATATCCTTTTAATTAGAGTTAAAAGTGGGTTATTTAGTATGTCCCTCTTGTCCAGTATTAGAGTTGTATCAGTACTGAGTAATAGTATACTGAGATAACAGAATAAAATTTTAATATCAACATACTCAGACAAGCTTCGTTGTTGAACTCAGTTAATCCCGAGTAGTAGTAGAAATAAAATATTTATAAGTATGAATTAAGACAAAGATTAATGAAAAAATAATATATATATATATATATATTTATAATGCAATAATTTACTACTGCTAACTCATAAAAAATAGACTATTATACTAATAACTTTATACAGATAATTAATAATAATAAATTTGAATGTATTTTAGTTATTTATGCTGTAGTACACATGAAGGAGTCTCTCAAGTCAATACTTAATGCCAATTTTTCCTACTCACTTACTTTTACTTTAAGTTCAAAAGAAAACATGGTTAAGTAAAGAAAATATTTAAAAAAATTGTCAGTACTAATAAAATCATTTATGACTGGTAAATTTCCCCATACATTTAAAAACAATTTTGCTACCGTAAAATTGTTGGCCTTAAATTGTATCCTAATTTAAAAATTCTTAAAAATCATTGTCCAATTTCGACTGGTTCATACAGAAAAAAGTTTCAAACAGAAAAAAAATTTCATAAAAAAAATAAAAGCCTATTAGAATAACATTTAAGATAATAGTTTGAATTTCCACCTCCTGTAAGGTTTACAGAGGGAGCGCCTTGTCATTCAATTTTAAAAAACTTTGCGAGAAAAAAAGCTTCCTATAACATGGCATAAAGAACAGATAGGCATACCACACTGTACTCACTGACCAACCACGTGCTACTTATTCCTAGAAGGCAGCTGACGGAAAAGCTCCTTTATTTTCATAGGTTGCAGCGAGGGAGGAGTTGCATGGTACTATCAACTTTTCTTTCACCGTAATTAAGGATCACAGTCGCTAACGCTTTTTCTCCCACAGCGTTTTGGGATCTTGGCACGCTCTCAGCCAGGCATGAGGAGGAAAAGCACTAATCTAAGTAGCGAATTCTTCCCCTACATCATAATAGCAATCTGCAGGGGGGGATTACATTGCAAGTTGAAATGTGTAATTAACCTGGGATTTATCGCTTTGTACGGCGTTACAAAAACAAAATTTTAAGAGGCGGGATCTTAGAACTTGCTTTTTTAAAAAGAATTTTGTAAAACTATTGTTTTTCCTAAAATTGAATTTGTGAAGGTATCAGGAACCGCTTAACAGTAGCAAATTTATTTGTCCTGGACAGAATCCGAAAATTTCTATACATATTAAATGCGACGCAATTCAGTAGATATGATTCGTTCAACTTTTCTGTACATAAGCAATTCCATATTCATAATAAGGTGACAAACTGTATCCATTCTGTTCTTTAAAAACATGGATTTATTAATATTTTGAATAATTGTCAATATGTTTGTTTTGATAGCTTTTTTATATGGATTCGAATCGAGGTGTCTTGAACTCCTCTTTAATTTAGCAAAGATTATCGATTAATTGGTTTTCTAAAGTTCTCAAAATAATGAAATGATGTTGTCATCACGGCTTGTGTTCAATGTATTAATTAATATGCAATAGAAAAAGAAAATGAATAAAAATAAAGGATAATAAATTTGCACAGACTTAAAAATACTTTAAAATGAACTAAATTTAAAAAAATAAATAAATGCAGCTTTTTCTGTCCCTGACACTGAGGGTTATTTAAACAATACAAAAAGAAATTGAACTCTAATTGTGTTCTAAAATCATGTTTATCAGAGGTTCTTTTAAGAGAAAATTGGGTCCATTATCTGAAATAATTTAAATGCATTTAAAGGGTATCATTAAAAATATAAAAAAAAGCCAATGAACGCTAAGTCCTCAACTAGCAGCTCTTTCGCAAGTCTACATCACATAAATTTTTCTCGATTTTCTTTCAAATATATTTTTTAAACATGATGTAAAAATAAGATTCTTATCCAATATAAGGAGATTTTAATTCAATACAAGTACATTTTAATGTAAGCACATAAAACATTTATGAAAACTATAACTTGTAAAAAAAATTTCCATTGAAAAATATTGCTCAACAAGTATAACGCATATACAAAGGGAACCATTCGATAATACAGAGAACATTTCACATGAATGTAAACATAACTAAATAAAATAATGTCATTAATCATAAAATGCAAATTACAGTAGATATTAAACACTTTGTAATAGCTCACAATTAAAATGACAATTCATTTTACAGAAAAAAATTATCATTTATAATTGCAATTGTAAGAGATATAAGTGTCATGGTAAAACAAGCTCAATTAACAAATATTTGTTTCCAAATATGTATTTTCTTTCAACTGAAAATAGGATTTAAAAAAAGTAATGATTTTTGAAAATACAAGAGATTTTTATAAACAAATACAAATCAATAAATAATTGTGACACAATTTATTACTTATTTCTAATTTAAAAAATAATATTGTAATAGCTTATAATAATTTTTTTTTTAAAATAACATTTAGTTCAATAAAAAATTTTTATGATAAAATATATGATCCCATTTATACCAGGTTTCAATTTCTGGAAACAAAACATGAGTTACAAATACAAAACAATCAGGAAACAAAAATTCAAAATCAAAAGTTCAAAATTTTTCCAAGGTGACCACAATAAATTATTTTATAATTAAAAATATGATTTAAGAGTTAAAAATAATTTATTTAAATTTCTGATGGTATGAAATATATATTTAAAAAAAAATTAAAATGCACTTTAAGTTTGTGACAATTGTTTTAATATTAAGAATAAGTATTATAAATCAATTTATATTTACATTATTCCAGCACTAGAAAATAATTATTATAAATCAATTATATTCTATTTTTTCCTTAATTATAAAAATAATAAATCCCCTCACAATGAATTTTCATTTACTTAAAATTGTAATTAAATATTATATCAAAATACTGATAAAAATGGTTGATTAGAAATTTTTTTTCTTCATAAAACTGTATAAGTAGAAATATATGACCCTATTCAAGATAATTTTGATTTTTGAAAATAATTTGCTCATAATAAAACATTTCAAAGCTTTCATATAAAGACAAAAAAATTATTCTTATTCTTTTATACAAAGAAATATGTCTTAAAAAGTAAGATTAGATTTCTTCATGCAAAAGATATATTGTTTTTACACTAATTGCAGACTATGAGTTAGGTACTTAGCATTACAGTTTGAGGCACTTTTAAAGGAATTTTTCATTCAGCAAAATTTTATTAAAAAACAACACATAAAATATCATATGAACTGGCACTTCAGAGTTTATAAGAAACATATAGGGTGATCCACAAACTGAAAGAGTTGTTTACGTAACTTACAAGCTAAAGAAGTTCTACATTTAAACTTTTAAATGGAAAAATAAATTGCAAGCAACTTTTTGTTACGTTTTTCATCTTTTTTCTTGCATAATGAAACTGTTACCTTAAAACTAACTTCTTTTACGATTTTTTAGAAATAAAATTATTATTTTTTAAATCTGGATTTGTTTATTAGCACAGACACACACACAAAAAATAATATTTGTCAAATATTGGTCTCGACAAAATGTAATGATTGTAAAATACTGATTTTTTTGTTTCATAACATAGAGTGAAAAAAATAATCATGAAATAGTTTTCATTAAAAAATAATATAACAAATAAACATTTAATGAATTAATAAAGGATGGTAAGTAGTTTAAAATTAAAGTAAGTATATTACATTATTTAGACTTATCTTATAAAATAAAAAGTTAGACTAGAAAAATAATTCTCTCAAAAATCACAAATTTAAATCAGTTTTTTCTTTACACATTACACACATCACATTAAAATTAACCAGACATTGTAAAATTGTGGCAATAGAAAAGATAGAAAAAGAAGTTCAAAACTAAAGCTTTTAGATAAGAGAATGTTTTTGTATTACTATTAGTTTTTTCCATAGAACAGAAAAGAAAAAGAATTTTACAATCACAAAAATAAATCAATTTTATAACAATCACAATATGATTTTTTAGGCTTTTACAACAACCATTTTAACAATGAATAAAAATTGAATATTAAGGTAAGCCTTTTATGAAACAACGCAGCAACATTTTTGTGGATACTCTTGAAAATATACTTTGTGTTCAAAACCATAAACACAAAACCTATCAGTTTTACTTTTCCATTGAAAATTTACATCAGCGACAGGAATAATACGCAAACTTTGGCGCTGCAAATAAACAAGTTTTTTACTTTAGAAAAGTAATTTAATTATAAAATTATATATAATATAAATCAATATTCATGATTCTAGATTTAAACCCCTAATTAACAACTGAAAAAAACTAACTGTGTCATTTTAAGAATTTTTACCTTCTTTCTATGATTTAAAATTGCATTTAACATGCATCTGCTGCATCTAATAGTTCTGATATTAGATATTAAGTCCACAAGAAAAAAATTTATTCAGAAGATTTAAACTTTTCTGTAGTTGAAAAACACAAAAATGAAAAAATGTTTCTAATGGGAAAAAAAGTGTTTATTTAAAAAGTTTGAGTCATGAGCATCCAATTATTCAAATAAAAAGTTGAAATTTATCTATTAATTCATTTTTGATGAACCAGACAAATATAAAAATTGAAACAACAGTGCAAACATCTTAAATTTTATTATCCAGGGGTGATTGTGAACCCAAATCAAAATTCCGGAAATTTCTTGAGTTAAAAAAAAAAAGAAAGAAAAAAGTTTAAATTGAAAAAAAAATTTAAACAAGGTTTTTCTCCTTTTCTCAATATTTCTTAGTTTACTTAAAATATATTTAAAATTTTACACACACCTATACCATTTACACATACCTATGATGACCTGAAGAAGTAATTAAAATTTACAAATATGTCTTTCTTTCTTGAGTTTATGATCATAACAACTATTTACTGATAAAAAATGAATATTAATCAGGAATATAAGCTTATGAAGTTTCTCTCGGGCTCTCCCTTACAAACAAATAAAATAAACTGCTTTTTTTAGTTCCACTTTCGAAAATTTGATTTCCTGAAACTTCTGTGATCAATGATTTTTTGAAAAATCTGGACCTTTGATCTCTGGAAACTTCCGGATCACTGTTAGCGAAAAATCCGGATTTTTTCCTGAGCACAATCAGCCCTGATTATCTCTTTCCAAATCAAATACCACTTTTGCCATATAGGTGATATCCATTATGTGATTTGCCAAACATGCAATATTTTTCTTTATTCATACTTAAGCATGATTATAATTAATCTAGTCAACATTTGGTTTTCAATCAAAATAAATTTTAACACAGAATTTTAAAAAAAATGTTTATCAAACAAAACGTAGATAATTCATATAAACATGTGATTGCTGGAGGAAATTATCTAAATTTTTTACTCCTAACGTGTTGTTATTTTAAGTACTTGATTTTTTTTGTACATAGGAGATAAAAGTATGTTTCTTTGTACATCTTTTTATGCACAAAAGTAACAAACATAAAATTTAAAGAAAGAAAATTCATACTTTGTGAGTAGCGATTACATTGAAAAAGATTTTTAAAACCACAAAAGCCAGTGCAATAATTGAAAAAAAAAAGAAGTAAAGGGGTAAATTAAATGAACGTTTTAAGATTCACGTGTTGCAATAAATAATGTCCTAATAAAAATATTGAGAATTAAAAAAATGTGTAAATCAATAGTGGTAACCGCAGAAAAATTAATTGAAAAAGAAAAAAAAAATGTTAGAAATACTTCATCAAATAGTGAATACTCTGGTACGTAATTTAAATTCCTGTATCATGATAATATTTGGATATTTTAAAATCATGTGAAAATAAGCAACACTAACTTTTTTAAAAAAACTATCAAAACGCTGAAAGAATTTAATGCAAATAGAGCATGTGAACAGTATCTATTTAAATTTGTGATTCAAATTTCTCTTTTCTTAATAACATATGAAAATATCGGAATTTAAAAAGAAACAAGAGGATATCAGCAGTAACTGATAAAGAGTAGATAAAAAAGTGAATAATAAATGCACAAATTGAATTTTGCATGTTGTAATAATAATGATTAAAAAGTATTGAGATTTACAAAAAATATTAAGATGCAAAAGAAAACATTGAGAAAATTAGTAGCAATAATAGTCGATAAAATGTTCAAAACACCACATGGATTTTTGATAATATCAATGCAAATCAGGTGCTTCAAAAAGTTATTACTCAATTGGGTGATTCAAATTTTGTGTCATAATCAATAATATCAGAATTTTAAAAACCATAAGAAAATTAATAGCATTAACTGTAAAAGAACAAAAAAGATTGAAACACGGATTTACAATAGTATGGACCGCCCTGAAAAGTGACTACTGAATTGTGCGATTCAAAATTTTCATGTTGTAAAATTATATTAAAAATAAATTCAATCTAATTATAGCTAAATAAAAATATATCAGATTGATTAAATAATACTTCGATTTCTAATTGAAATTTGCAACAAAATTGCTACTCATTAAAATATAAATTTGAAATAATGAGAAATTTTTTTCTTCTAACGAACGATATTTTAAATGTTTGCTATTACTGAATCCGCATTTAGATTATCAATTTTATATTTTTGTGTTTGCCTCAGTAGTTTATTTATTCTAGCCGAAGTTATTATGGATTATTTTTTACTTTTAGAAAATAAAAAAGTTTATCTGAAATTGCGTTTTTCTCCAACAAATCAGTGTAAAAAAAAGTCATGGCGTGAACGAGAACTTATGAAGAAAAGAATGAAGGTAAGGGTGGAATAAATGTCTCATTAATGAGAATTTGACAAAATAATGAAATTTAACTTTTAGATTAGTGGAACTCCGAGAAAATTTTGTCAGAATATAAATTATTGATTCGCAGAAGTTTGCGACTCAATGGTCATGAGATTGAGAGTTAGCAGAAAAATCGCATACCTGTTCATAAGTTAATGATATAGAAAGTTTTAGTTTAAATAATATTTTATTAGAAAAAATTAATTTGTTAAAAATAAAATTTTACAAATGAAAAAACTCAGAAATGAAACATTTAATTGATACAACATTTCACGTAACTAAAAAAAAATTTTTTAATATCTGTATTTACATATTTCTTGAAAAATATTAAAACTGCTTTAATTCTTTCAATAAAATTTTTGAGCTCAGTATAAGAAATATTTTTTAAAACATACTAATGTTTAAACCTACTTGTTTCAAAATCCGCTCATTTGTAAAGGCATTGCCATGCTTTCGAATTAAATCACTGGATGCATTGCAAACAGCTTGCTCTGCTCCTTGAACAATTGGAAAAACCTATAAAACATGTAGAGGATTAAGTAAAAAAAAAAGCAATAATTATTAAACTACTGAGTTATTTAAAAAAAAAATTCAGCAATTACCCTTGGATTTTCTTCTTCATAAGCATTCTGTCCACTGACTTCTAGAATTAATTCCTTGGGCATGCACTTAACTTCTGAAATGTAATTATCAACATGATTGGCCCTAAAATTAAGAGTTAAGATTAGAATCAATTGGTAAACAATAGTAATTATTTTAAAGTAATAAAGCCAGTGTTCTTTCTATGCATTTTTTGAAGGGCAGCCTGCCCTGCTTGCCTTTTGATTCCCAATAAATCACTCTCTTTGCCTTTTTAAGTAAACTGCCATCTTTTTGAAACACTGCCTTTTTATTCAGATTTCACCATGAAAAAAATTTATTCATTTTTAAATAATAATTACACACTGGTAAAATTATTTGTGTTTATAGGTTTAATTCTGATAACTACAAATTTGTTAAGATTATTTACTTTGTTAGGATTATTCTCAACCGATTAAATTTTCATAATTATCTTCTTTGGGAAGGGGAGGAATATTAATAAATTTTTTAAGTGATTTTAAATATTAAAACTAATTTTTAAGTAAATACCTTTCTAAAAAGAAAATGCATTGTTAAATGTTGATTTGCAAATAATTTTCAATTTAAATTATAGAAAAAAGCTTTCAAGTTGTTTATCAATTAATAAGTTTTTGCAGGCTTACTTTTTTTAAAAAAAAATATGCTCAGAGTTAGCATGCCTTTAATTATTTTTATAAACTACAAATTTTTCTCTTATTTTGATTATGAGAAGATAATTTAAAAATTGTTGAGCATAAAATTGAATTATCACATAATATTACATATTTTGATAAATATTTATGTTGTTAAGTGACAGCCCTTTCAAAACTCAAAGTGCCTTTTCAGAAAAGAAGCACCTAGACCTTTTTTATTCTTAGAGAAAACTCTGATAAAAGCAATAATTTTATATAAAAAATCAACTAAAAATTTTATATACCTAACAAGCAAAAAAAACAAAAAAAAAACATGAATTACATACATAGGTTTGGGTTGACATTAATTTATAGATTAATAAAATGCATAATAATTTATAGATTAATAAAATACATCAAATTTAATTAAAAGGAAATTTTACATTTTAAATTGGAATAAAATTTCTTTTTTTAATAAAATAGTTTTTTTTTTTAATACAATATCTTCCTAAATATTAAGATACATATTCGAAACATTTCCAGAAAATCTTTATTATGCAAAGAATTTTTTCCCAAAAAATTTTATGCAAAATTTTGTTTCTGCCATTTAATTCATTTTTAATTCTTTTGATATGCAGACACAAGAGAAGGAAATCATGAAAAAATAAATAAAAAAGCGTGTAAACTATTTTTCCCCCTAAAAAAACATTTTAATTATTTACATAAAGTTTTTTTCCTTGTGTGCGTGCATTGAGGGTCTGACAAACTATTAAGCTTTATATATAAATCATAATTAATAAGAATAAAATAATAATGAAATAAAAAACAAATTAATGTAGAAATAGTAAGAAAAAATAGACATTTATTCTCCGTAATATTTCATTGCAATTTTTAATAATTGTATACAAATATATGATATATGTATGAACAATTTAGAAATCCCCAAAAACTTTTCACCTATTTGATAAAGCTAAAATTGAGTAAAAATGATTTTTCTTACTTTTGACTTTTTTTTCAGCCTATGTAGCAATGGAGTATTTTATCAAAAAATTTGATAAAATACTTTTGATTTTAAGGAAACTGTTTTACTTTTTTTTGAGTTGCAAGAGAAACTTTGGGAAACATATCAGCAGTAGTGATAATTTTTTTTTAAGAACAGTTTCTTAAGAAAAGTCGGAAGTTAAGACTTATGTAGTGTTCAGATTAGGAAGCTTAAAGCTCTGCCGAAAAGTTAGAAGAATCCCCAGTCTAGAATTAATAAATTTTTTTCCCCAGTACTGAAATAACAATTTATGTATGTAATAAGTTATAAATCTAAAAATTTTACAATGATTTTCAATAAGAATAAATCAGTAATAGCAAATACTATTAAAAAAATTTATCAGTAAAGAGAGTGATTTATCAGTTAAGAGTGATTAATCAGTTAAGAGAGTGATAGTTAGAAAGAGAGTGCTTCAGGTGTTTTTGGAACACTCTGAACAGCAAATCTGTTCTTCAAATAAATAAAATGAAGCATTTTTCTTGTATCTAATTTTGAGATATTTATTCAAACAAAATATAACTATTTCTTTAATGAACAAAATCACAGAAAATTGTTTTAGTTAGGGCCAATACTGAAATTAATAAACACAAATGAAATAAGTGCTGATCAAATATTTCATAAGCAATAAGTATATATCCGGTTTGGCTTGTCAGGAAAAATATGCAAATTCAAATAATTTCTATTCCATTGTAATATCTATTCAAAGTCTCCACTAAGTCAAGTGACTTCATTGTTGTTCATAAGTTTCCCCAAAGAAATTTGAAAGCAATTTCTTTTACATCAGCATTGATTAAACTTTTCCCCACACGTCAGCAAAATAAGCAAACTGCTCTTTCTTCTTATGGTATTTCACAATATTTTAACTATCCTTTAAAACCCTTATAAGTACATTAGTTTTATTTAGGAAAAGAAATTTATTAAAACTCCTTTCAATATAGCAAAGTTGGTAACTTACTGTAATATATGACCTTAATATTGATTCATTAATATTTGATTAGAAACATGAACAATCTGCAATATGCTTTCAATTATAATTTAACACTCACCAAGTAACTATTAACTCGACATATCCCTTCAAAGTGCCTCGAGCGTCACATGTTTTACACTTGACTTGTCCACTTCCTGAACACTTGAAGCATCTGTATAATAAAAATTACAGAATGAAATAAAAGTATAAAATGTGTATTTAGGTTTTTATCATCATGGAATATGACCAACAATTTTATAATCTATAATTATAAATCCTTATTTATTATTATTGAGATATTCCCAGTTTGAACTGAACTAATCTTAAATCAAAAAATATTCCTTCTAATAAAGCTGTCATAAGAGAAGTAGCGAATAATTGAGTAATTAGATGAGATGTTCGAGCTTTCAACTGAGATTTTAAATTATAACTTATTGCCAAATTCTGGGTTCAACATTCTAAACTTTATATTTAAATATAGATTTCTTTACAAAAGTTATAGTAGATGGAAAGAGGTATTATAGATATCTCAATATAAAATGTGTCTTTTTTGGTCTAACCTTTTAACATACACAATACAATTTTTTGTTTAAACTGAAACAATAAATATTTCTACATGCTTTGTCTAAAAAAACCTTATTCGTTAATTCATTTTAAAACATTAGATATATGTAATATATATCCGTTGATGTATTTTAACAAAAGGTGAAGGGTTTACAATCTAAATAAATTATGCAATAAATAGCATGTGTATAGCAATTACACATAATTGGTTTTACAGATAAGTAGCATAATATATAGACATTTTTTAATCAGACATTTTTTCATGAATTTAGGTTATTTGTTCATCATACTTTTGTTTGAAACATCAGATTATTTTTATTTCATACAATTTTGTATAAAAAACTACTAAGTTGAATTTATAAAACAATAAGTTGAATTTCAAAAAACAATTTGATTTGATAGTTGCCAAGAAAATTGATTAGAAATAAAAAAAAATGTGAAAAAAAAACCCACTGGGTTTTTTTGGGCTGGGACCAACTTTTCAAACCCTGATATAAGATCCAACTTTTTTTCAGGAGATTTTCTTGAAACACACACACACAAAAAAAAGGTTGGCCTAACAATTTACACAACAACCACAAAAAAACCTTAAAACTTATCCTTGAAATAAGAAATACATATTATAAAAATGTATTTCTTATTTCAAGGTAATAAATAATAATAAAAAATCTGCAAATGAAGAAATATGTGTGTTAATTGTTCAATGCTCTTTAGATAAGTAGATAGATAACCAATCCTTTATTTTAGACAACTCATGTTAGGGAGAAAAATGTAAGAATCAAAAGTTGTGAGAATATGAAGAAAATAAAAAGTTATCGAACAAACAAAAAAGCTGAGTAAGCATTACCTGTCATATCCAGTAGCGTTACAAGATGTGCAGACTTCATCTTTGTCAAATCGATGTACTCTTCCTCTTCCTTTACACCAAGTACATTGTTTCTAAAATTTATTACTATATATAAATACAATCACATAGGGAGAAATGAATAAAAAGAAAATTGTCACAAACGAATATAAAACATGCTTTTGTAAAAGGCAATATTTTGAACAATTAATAAATATTTCGCTAACAAGGAAAGCAGACATCTGTAAAATTCCTATTGACTCGAAATCAAACTTAAATTGAAGAGGAAGGGTAAAAACATAGGATGGGATAAAAATTTGCCACAAATGCAACCTTTGGATCAAAATAGGATCTNAATTGTTATAATTCATGTACTAATAATCTATTAAGTATTTTTCAGAAAGATTATATTTGTTTAAAAATTTATGTAAAGGACCCATTTTTTTTCAAAAGGACCCAGTTTTTTAAAAGTCATGGGTCCCAGGGACCCGGGATTTTGAAAGCCTAGTGTCTTCCCTGCATCTGTAAAATTCCTATTGACTCAAAATCAAACTTAAATTGAAGAGGAAGGGTAAAAACATAGAATGGGATAAAAATTTGCCACAAATACAACCCTTGGATCAAAATAAGATCTCTCATAGCTCTAGTTAATATATCATTGAAATAAAAATTCATAAAGTAGATGTGTATTCATAGCTGAATGGCTAAAACATTCTACTTTAAATTGAGAGGTCACTGGTTTCATTCAAGCACTCAAGTTTAGAAAAAAAAGTTCTCTGACTTTTCCAGGTATATCAGGGAAATTTCAATGAAAATCCAGACCATATTTTATTCATACCATGCAATTTTTCATCAGGAAACTTTAATTTTTTAGTTGTCATGTCAAATATTAGATTTTATGAGAAAAAAAAAACAAGACTTAATTAGAATGGAAACATAGAAGTTTCGGTAATATGAGAAATTTTTGTAACAAATAATTGTAATAGATGTTTGAATTCTTTAACTCTAATCTCAATAACTGATTACTGTAACTGACAATTCTGAGACTGGCTATTTTACTGGTACAGGCCTGAAAGCGAGACGAAAATGAGAAAATACTGGTAGGAGAACTATTTCAATATTAGATAACATTCGGGAGGAGTTAATCTATTCTTAACAATAAACAATTCACTGTAATAAATTTTTTCTCGGCGAAGAAGCAAATCATTATAAAAATTGTATCCGTTAAAAAAATTGGCAGTTATAGATTTTCATTATTCCCGAAAAAAAATTTAAAACTGAAATTTATTTGTTACCAGTTTTTACTCTTTTCCGTCTTGATATATATGGGCTTTCACCCCTGCTGGTATAATGTAGGGTTATTCCAGGTTTTTATAATAAAATTACAACTTTTCCCGACAATTCCCTCCTTTTTAGAGTCGAAATAAAATTCTCTGACAATTCCAGGTTTTCTTTGTCCTACCTAACACCTGGAAGCCCTACAATACTGGAAAATGTTTTTTTTTTTCCTTTGAAGAATATATATTAAAAAAAAATACTTATTTAATTTAGCAATATTTATTTGAGAAATTATTAACTTTTAAACATTTTTGTTTTATTAGCTAAATAGAGGTTTTTCATACATAATTATTAAGAAATTAAATTACTTTTTAAAACAAAATTATTTACTGAAATAATAAAAAATGAAAAATTTAAAATAAATTACTAAAGATACTTTATATTTTTTTCTAATTTCACTATAATAAAAATTAATACTTTAATTCTCAATTCCTTTAAATTAAAAATGTTTTTACTTATTTTTTTTTAATTGCAAAAGAAAAATAAGTATTTCACAAGAAAAATCATTACTTTTTAAACTTTTTGGTTTTATAATTAAAATTAATAATTTCTTTCAGAAAATAATGTATTCAAATGATAAAATTAAACATTTTTCATTTTAAAAAATTAAAGATTTCACACAAAAATAGTCTTTTAATATAGATGATTAAAAAAAAAAATTTTTTTTCAATTTTAATAAATGCACAATTACTTACTGCCATTAGCTGGGAGAGAACTGGCATTCTCTCTACAATGAGTCAGACATCTTAACCATTCAGACATGAATACATATTGCTCAAGAGGTTATTCAATTTTAATATTATATTAAATAAAACTTAGAGGAGTCATATTTTGAACAAGGGCCTCATTCACAGATAATCTAAGTCATATTATGTTTATTACTATGCTTTTTAATTTAAGCTTATTTTAATTCTAATAAGAATGTTACAGATGTGTATTTCCTTTGTAAGTAATGAAGTTGGCTACTTTTATTACAGAAGTTTGAAACTAGAAAATTATGATTTTCTTTCACTTCATTAATTCACTCAAGTATAGCTTATAGTACACTTCATTAATTTTGATAAGACTGCATTTGTTAAATGATTATAAAAAAATTGAACTAAATCCGACTGTAATGAAAAAAAAAACTATTTTCAGAGTTTACAGTTAAATAAATGTAAAATTTAAAAAAGATTTACTTCTATTTACCAAGAATTTTAGCTCCAATTACCTTCTAGCTTATATGGTCATTAAAAGAAAGTTTGCAGTCATACGAAAATTATATTTAAAATAGAAAGAATTTATTAAAAACTAAGCTATTATGTCAACATTTAAAAGAAACACTACTAAAGAAAATAATAAATATTTACTAAAAGTTATATTTTACATGGAATAATCCTTCGATAAACAAATTTTAGAATTGCGTTTTAAACTTTTACAACTTGTTTTAGAAGTTTTCTAGATATGGCACAACACGCAAAAAAGAAAATAAACATAAAAAGGTCTAAATTTTCAATCGCTCATCAGAAAACTATGGGAACTGTATTTCCCAGATTGTGGCTACCCCCTATGTTTTGGAGTTCAGAGATATGTATTCAATGAAAGTACGGCTACGTGTCTAGTTTTCTAATTTAAAATATCATCAGCACTTATTAATTACCATATTTAAGGTCACCCCCTTGAACCATTAAGAGTGATTCTTAGACTGTTAAGATTTGATCATTAGATCCAGAGCCGGATTATATCTTTCGTAGGCCCTAGGCACAGAGCCGGATTATACCTTTCGTGGGCCCTAGGCATAGCCGTTTTTGGGCCCTCCCCTCCTTCCCCCACTCCTCCCCTCTTTTCAAAATATATGCTAAAATTTTCTTGCATATTTTTTTTTACATTTTTATTAATATGGATTTTAATTTACAAATTTGCTTATCGAACTTTATCTGCAATACCGACATACTGCCGATATTGCAGTAGATATCGATAATACCATTATGATTAGTTCAATCGAGAATACTTTTCCTAACTGTCACATTGCATTAAGAATATATTTGTCGATTCTTGGATCAAATGCAGAAGGAGAAAGATCTTTCTCCAGATTAAAATTGATAAAAAAAATTTTGTGTTCAACAATGATCGTTTAGCATGGCTCGCACTTATGTCTATTGAATACGACATTTTGCGTAGTCTTGGAATTCGACAGCTAATACAAGATTTCGTTGAATCCAAAAATCGCGAAAAAGTAATATATTAGATCATAAGATTCTGCAAAATAATTTATTACCGAAAAATATTATATTTTTATATGTATCTTCATAATTTTGTGCAAAATACACTTGTTGTTTTTAAAACTAAATTATTTTTGTCAACAAATTTTTTTCTCCCAAGTTTTTCGTAGGCCCTAGGCACGTGCCTAGTGTGCCTATAGGTTAATCCGGCCCTGATTAGATCAAAAGTTATTCGGGGTGGTCGGTCAAATTTTTTTTTTTTGCACAATGTACGTCAAAAGTGAAGTGCTTGCGGTTTTGATTTAGATTTTTTTCTCTTCTTTTTGTTAAACATTTAAAACAAAAAAATAGAGTAGAAGCATCACTCACCCTTCCATTTCCAAAACATGTTTCACAGCGAATCCTGCCATTTCCAACACATGTATGACAAGGTTTTGTGAATGCAGTATGAGGCACTTCAATCTTAGCAAATGAATCAACAAAACTAACACTGGGGACAGCTGGCACATCCCAAGGCCGAGGAGCTGGACCATTATGAGGACCATCAATCGGCTGTCCTGCAAAATGTTCACAATCATCAATCAATTCAAATTCCTAAAGTAAATTGATTTGAAGAGTCAAAGTATCAGAAAACACCAATCCTTGCCTACACTAAAGATAGCAAGAAAAAACAGATGCTATAATAAGCCCATAGCTGAAAATTGGTACTTCGAATACATAGTACTATTATCACAAAAAAAAACTATAGTAGTTTTAATAGTATCCTCTGATAATAAAAACATATCAAAAGATAAAAATTCTAGATATAATAAATAATACATATTTGGAGAAGTGTGCAATGCACTGTCCTGTTTAAAATCTGGATGAAAAAACATTTCCTTCCCATGTGCCTTTCGCAGGGTTGGGTTTTTGACGTCAAAAAGTGGTTTTTGACATGACAAGGGTATAATACTGGTTTAAACCGTCAAAAACTGAAGTTTGCCAAGAAAATATATAAACTTCAAAACTACCAACAGTTGCCATGCATTATATTGAAATTTAATTTACTATAGGTAATCAGCAGGTTTTAAAACATTTTTTAATTAAAATTAAGGTAAAATAACATTTAAAATCTCAGAAATTTATATTCAAATGCATGTGCAGAAAAATTTTGCACAAAATTTTTTTAAATATTTATATTTTGAAAAAAAAATTTTTTTTTTTGATACTTAAGAAAATTAAAAGTTTATTACTATGCATTTTTGACATATAAGGAACATATAACTAATATTTATAAGGAACTTACAAGTTATGTTGTATAAATACAAACTAGATACAAGTGTATAAAAAATTTTTTTAATGTTATACCGAATATCTTTATTATCCAGTATGTTAATTTGAATTTAAAAGTAGTTATATTTGTGAATAATGATAAATATAATTCATATTGTTTATTATATTTATTTATAATTATTACACTTATCATTTTAAAACAATTTTTACCTTCTTATTTTTTTCCCCCACTTGTATTAAGAATACAAATAATGCATATCTTGAAAGCAAGAAGTAATTATTCAACAGCTGAATATTTAGATATTCAACAAAACTATATAGTATTCAGCAAAATGAAATTCACAAGTATTTGGATAAACTAAATTTTCAGCATAGTAAATGAATAGGCTGAATATACTGTAAATCGACACTAACTACTCTGTGTATTTAACAGAAAGCACTTAAATTTGTATTGTCTTATGTTAAAAAGATTATTAAGAAGATTTAAAAGAATATTAAAAAGATTTTTCTTTAAAAGATGTCTAATGTACAAAACTGCTAATGTTTATCTTTAAAAATGTCTAATTTTTAGTATAATCTATACTATACACTAAATTTGGTTATAAATAAATTTCTTAATAATATCACTGCAGATTTTCAATAACACATGAAAATGAATACATAATATTACAAAAGATGTGAGCTTTCAAAAGTACAAGATTTTGGTTACTATTCAAAATATAAGTGTTTCTTCAAAATTTTAAATTTATTTTTTCTAGAACATATTTAGAAACACTATCCTTTTTAAAAAATATATAAATTTTATGTATTAATTAAATTTCACATATGAATATAGGTTTTTGACATTTTCGACAGTGAGGTTTTTGACGTGACGGTTTAAACCATGGTTTAAACCGTCAAAAACTGTCACATGTCAAAAACCTGCCAACCCTGGCCTTTTGAGATTGATTAAGTACTTGCATGTGTAAAACATAACATATATAAAATAAACTGTTTATTCCCTCTGATTTTACACAAAACATGTTTTTTTTATTGGCTTTTCAGCAATTTAAAAAATTTTTAATAATTTATTACAACAATGCAAGTGCTGAATTTTATCACATTTTTGTACGCTTTTTGGGGTGACTCTACCGTAAACCCATGTCTTTTTCTGATAGTTCAAATAACATATAATAACATATAGTGGGATAATAACATATTTTTACCATTATATGGTTCAAAGGTCCAAGATGTCTGACGTTTTTCAGTAAAAGTTTCCAACTTGTACTGAAATTATAAAAATAAATTAATCTCTAGAAACATAAATCAATTAAGATATCATTAATTATCAAATTTACTTACGTGGAAAGCACTGGACATATGAATCTCTCTCACTTGCATGTCTCTGGCAGGACCAGAGCTATAACAGCAGTGCTCCGAAGCAAACTGAGTAACAGCATCTCGCACCTCCTCCTCATTGAAACGTGGTAGACTAAAAAATGTGTAATACTCTTAATATGAAACTATGACAAAATGGTAAACATGAATAATAGCTGGCAATTAAGCGCAACTAAAATGAATGATTCATATTATCAAAACTGAGCACAGGAATTGAAAAAGATGGATAAGGCTTACAATTTTCGGTCAAAACAAAAATAATTTTATTATTTAATCAGATTTGACTACAAGGACAAAGTGAGAAAGGTTTGTAGTGCTTATAATTAATGGAGACTAGCTATTAGCTTTTTTTTTATTGCTAATTTAAATGATTAGTTAAATTTAAATAGATATTGAATGTACAGGCAGGTGGCAGAAGATTTAGTTGCTGTGTCAATCAAAATAACATAAAACTTTTCCTGAGTAACAATGCAATTAAATTTTCTTTGCCTGGTTTTATTTAACAAATTCAAATCATCCTAATAATTGCCATACGGCATACCCTTTGATTAATTTTCCTTTGCTTTTTAGGCTTTTCCCAGCTAATTAATTGTTGGATGGATTGTGAATATGATGATGCTTTATTGTTTACATCTACACATTTTAATTAGATTCATGTAAATGAGTTACTTACATGATCAATGACTTAACATAAATAAGAGCTTTTCATTTGACATGAAGCAAGTATATAACATTAATTTGCATTTGATAGTAGGACATGAGTAAGAGATTAATCTCCTTTTTTATAGCATGTGTGGCATAATTCAAATCAAAATTCAGTTAAACAATTCTTTAAACTAAAGATAAGTTTTATTTAAATCAGTCAAAAAGAATAAGAAATATGTACAGTAAACAATTTAAAACCTGATAAAAATAACTTTTAATTTAAGCAAACCAAAATAATTAGGCCATTTTTTTTCGAAAAATACCAGGCTTAAACTCATGCATGCCTTAAACTCATTTCCTTTCGACTGACTTCAACTCTCCCTCACTTGTGACCAACCTGATATTTTATAATAAATGCAAAAGTTAATCACAATGCAGGTAATGTTTAAAATTCATACTTTATTAACTACAATATGTTTAAATTGAATCAGACAAGAAAAAAAGGAAAATATGTAATGAAACAAATTGTTAATAAAACAATGGTTAATAAACTAAGACCTCTAGATAAAATAGTCTTAACTCACACTTTTAACAAATTGTAGCATGCACAAAGAATTTGTAATAAAAAATCATGCATAGATTGATAACTCAAAAATGCAACAAAAAAACTATTTAAAGGTGAAATTTGTCAAACATTTAAGCTTGTGAATTTGGACTCTTAATACCTTACATAAACCAATTCAACCTTGCATGAAAACAATATTGCATATCTATCATGTTGACAGAAAATGGAAGAACACTACAATCTCTTCTAGATTTGTCTCACTTGTGCCATATTTTTTTCATTTCTTTTCATTTGACGAAATTCTGCTAGTTCATAGTTAATTATGACATTTCCCTTGTAAATTCATAAAGTTAATGAATATTTTGATTGTTTATAACATACATAGAATATTTTAATTATTAGCTACTATGGAAACAAAAGTCTCAGCCTGAAAGCTATAGTAATTAAAAAAAAAAATCTCTTACTTGTAAAATGAGATTAGTTGCAACTTTCAACAGAATTTATAAAAAAGTAACTCTTTCTTAAAATGAGCTTTTATTTCTAGTTTGCTGTTTATTTTTATAGTAATGCAAGGCTTCCAACTCTTTTCTGTGATTGGTTATAGGAGATCATTTCACTAGATATTTAAAGTATAATAAGATAGTTAAATGGTACAAGAAACTAAGGCCAATGCAAAATGAAAGAACAGAAACAAAAATCAGGAAAGTTCACTAGGGCATCTGGGGGTTATAAAACTAATATTTATATGAAGAAGATATACCTTCTGAAGAGTTGATTAATACAGATAGCTATAAAATATTATAAGTTTTCAGAAAATAACAAACATTTTATATTATTACACAAAATAACAATATTTAGCATTATATTTTTTTGTTTAATCCTCTAAGATTTTTTTTCTTTTTTTTAATTCAGTTCATGAATTTAGTTATTCAGTTTATGAATCAGTTTTCTTTTCAGTTACAAACACTGGTTTTTTCAGTGTTATTTGATGGGAAAAATTGTTTTCTCATTAGGAAATTTCCATTTTAGACTTGTAATACTTGGAGGGCAAAACCACTAATATAATTATCATTCTAAAACATATTTTTTAATACATTTAACTACATTTTTTAATACATACTTAAATTTTAAAAGAAAATTTAGAAAGAAAAACAATTATTTAATTTATATAACCAATTAAGTAAGAGTCAAATACAGTAACAAGATAAAAACAAAAAAGTTAATCAAGATATAATGGTGAAATATTTTAGGAAATTTTTTTTTGGTGGGTTAAAAAGCAGATAATGATTACAAAGAAATAATGATTTTGCATATGAACAAGACTTCAAACAGGAAGAGTACTTGAAATTATTTTATAGATAAGTATTTCTATGATTGGTTTAATTAATTTAAAAAACTAAACATTTGTCAAATAGTCTTTCGGAAAGTTAGGATGTAACCATAACACTGAAGTTTATTTTAAGATTCAAATGCTAAGCTCTATTGCTTACCTACATTTTAAGAAAAATTATATTTCTCTTAAACTATGTTAATCTGCTTGTAAAATATGAATAAAATATAACAAAAATATAAGGTTTTACTATTTTTTTTATCTATGTCTATGAGTAAAATGATATTCAACAGAGTAAGTAATACTAAAATAAGTTTAGTCATCTAGAGTTGATAAAAGTTGGATTATTCAGAAATCTCCAGGAATTTAAAATTTTTATTCTAATAAATTAATATGTTTAATAGCAAATACTTTTTTTCTTAATTGTTTTACATATTCACATAATATTGTTAGAACAGTTTTAATTTTTAAAGCAGATACTTGAAAATATTAAATTATAATGTATGAATATGTGTTTCAATTTTCTTACTTTTGGACAGGCTGTCTCTCATGTTCTCCAGGCTGCCAATCAGGCACAGTGGGAGGTATTAAAGTAGCTATAATCAATAATAAGAATGTAAAATTGGCCTTAACATTTTAACAGCCAAACACAGACTAGTTATGATTAATAAATGATATTGTAAGATGATAATAAATAATATTGCATACTACAAAGATTTCAAACAAATGGAGGAGTGTGCGCTTGTAATGATTAAAAGGCAGGTGGGAGGGGCTGACCTTTTAAAAACTGCTTAGGGAAAACACTGCTACTGTTTCATCCTGGCCAGTTGTTGATGTATCGCAATTGACCTTATTATATCAGGGGTCTGTCTAGGTTTTTCTGAGAGGTACCTATTATGTGAAAATTTAGACATAATTTGTGAAAAATTAAAAACTATATTAAAAAATCAACACAAAAATATTGATTTATCGTTTCTTAAGGGATACAAAAATAAAATTCCAAGAAAAAGTATTTTGAGAAACTACGGTTTTTCCTAAAGTTGAATTTGTAAAGATACCGCTAAACGGTAGAAAATTCGGCCTGGACAGACCCCTGTATATGTTTATCATTTTATTGCCTCTACTGTTAAGATGAATTATATTTTTTGCTGTGACCCTTTACTATAACTAATTGGCAGATAATACAGAGAGCCAGGTGTGTTACAACTATTATAGACAATTATGATTCTACTGCTCTATAACTAAACATACCTTAAAAGAGTAAAATGTAGAATCTTGGAGAATATGCATAAAGTATTACACACAATAAATAATAGTAATAAATAATAACAATAAATAATAGCATAAATATTACTCACATAAAAATATGCAGTGTGTTACAGAAAGAAAGTCAAAAATTATAAATAATTTATAATAAAACTAAGTAAGTCATTAGGAATGACAGGCAAATAAGTTAAAATATACTAAAACAAATGAACGATTGATACAAAGGGGATATTTTTATAAGATATTTAATAACATTTCGGAAAAGACTTATTAGAACCTTTCTTTTATATTAATAGAGGAATGCTTGTACAATAACTTTTTATTATCTCTGAACACACATTATAAAACAAATGGTATATAATTAAGATTTCAATAAGTGGAAATTTTTTTGTGCACATCTCTACAAATAATTAAGGTTCAGCTAATATGAAACTTGTATTCAGTTCATTTATTCAAAGAGATATCTCCAAATATATTAAAACTTTGCTAATTCAAGTAAAAATTGTCCAATGAAACAATAATTTCAGTAAAGCATAAATAATGAAGTTAATATTTTATAGTGATTAGATCTATCACAATCCTTATTTTCAAAATTATGATCATTACACAGTTCGATATTTTATTGATTTATAAATAAATATATTGCATGGATTTTGAACATTAAAAATTATGCCTCCCTCGATTATTTATATAAGATTACTTGAAAAAGAAATATTTTTTTTAAATTCAAACACTGCACAATACATTATGAAAACCTGAGTTTCAATATTTTACAAGCATAATAGAAAAATTACAAATTTATAAAATATAGTAATAAAAACTAATTACACTAACTTTGTTCAAATGTTAATCCCTCATATCCAGGAACAGGTTGTATTCCACTCAAATCTGGAGCAGTAGGACAGACAGCTGGCTGACCAACTGAAAAGAAAAAATTAATAAAAATTAAAATAAATTGTAATGAAGTAATTATACTACTGTAACAGGAATAATAAAAAAAATTCCAACTAAGTAAAACAACATAGATTTTAAGTAATATTATTCACATAGTTTCTAAAAAACTTGAAATAAAAAACAAATACCTAACCATATCATAAAATTAAATTTTTAGGCAAATCATTAGCTTGCAGCTACCTAAACTAAAACAAACTAGGTAGTTTAAATCTTTGTTTCAAACAACCAACATGAGAACATATATATATATACAAAAGTAGTTTTGAGAGCCACACTCTAATCCATATTTTTATGATTCAAAGCAATTACNAACTAAGTAAAACAACATAGATTTTAAGTAATATTATTCACATAGTTTCTAAAAAACTTGAAATAAAAAACAAATACCTAACCATATCATAAAACTAAATTTTTAGGCAAATCAGTTAGGTAGCTTGCAGTTACCTAACTCCATATAATCCATATTTTTATGATTCAAAGCAATTACAAAAAATACCCACATTTTGAGAATGAAAATGTATAAGCCTTATAATAATATAAGTGTATAAATATTTAATGTATAGACAGGTTTTATTAGCACTTAAAGTTTGTCTGGCCTCTAGCTTATAGCCCAAGTATTGATACTATTTAGCTTATAGTCCAATCGTAATAAAAAAATGATAAAAATTTTATTTAAGTCAAATGATTTTTTTTTTTTAAATCTTCCAATCTTAATTAAAAGGGCACAATGAAAAATAGTTTTAATTATAGCATGTAAATTTACCCTTGTGCTGGTGAACAAAAACAATGAATTAAAAAATATATAAAACAGAAGTAAAAACAATGAAGAAAGAATGACACAGAGCTTCCACAACTTTTAATCATTAAATTATGCGTTTCATGGCTAAAGATGAACTGCACATATTAGATATGAATATAAAAATTATTAGACTGCACATAAAAGATAATATATAAATTAACAATAAGTATAATTACGATAAATTATACAGATAAAATAATCAAAAGTAATAAAATTTATTTTTTACATGAGATTATCTTTAGACAAATGAATTTTACAGTTGCGTGCAAAAAATTTTTTCAAGCCGCTTCAATAGTTTTCCAGATATGGTGAAATACGCAAAAAGTATAATTAACATTAAGAGGTCCAAACTTTGGATTGCTCTGCTGACCAAACTAAGGGAACTATAATTACCATATTACGGTTACCCCCTAAACTTTGAAGGTCAGAAACTCAAACCTGTTGAAAAAAAAGGTATGTTTATACAAATAAAGAACATTTTTATGAGTGATTTCGAGACTTAAAATATCGTCTTATAAATTAGCATATTTGAGGTCGCCCTTTTGACCATTAGGATTGAGTCCTAGAACATGTAGATCTGATNGACTGTTTGCTGATGGAGTAAACATCACTTTTTCGCTCCCACTCAACTAAGAATGATCAAATAAAAGTTACTCTGATTTAATTAAAATCCTGTGTCTGTTTATATATATATATATATATATATATCTGTCTGTGTGTCACTTAAGTAATATCATTTTTGAGAATGTATTGTATGCATGCATTGTATCATAATATATCCAAAATGTTCATCAATAATACATTCATTAAATTAATTCATCTTTACAATAATATTTTGGTTCTGATGCATTAATAGTTGCTATTAGAGTACTTAAATGCTTTATATCTCTAAAATAAAATTTAAATGTAATTCATTAAAAAAGTGTTAAAAATAACATTTATTAACAAAGAAAATTAAAAATATTATTAATCTAGAACACAGACAATAAAACAAGTATTTTCATTGTAATATACTGAATAAATTCTTCATCCTAACTCTAGTTTAAAAAATGCTAAAAGAATATTAAAAATCTTGAAATTTAGGGTGTCTAACAATATGATAATTGAAGCTTTTGAGTAAAACACTATTTTAAATAATTTAAAAATTATTGTTCAATAAAAATTTTTCCAAACATTTGAGCCTTTAAATATATTCTCCAAATCAAAAAATAAAATCTATTGTCTAAGCCAGCAATAAAAAATGATAACAATTTGCAATAAAATCTTTGCAGTGTAAATAAATATTTACAAGTAACGGATTATAAAAATATTTCATAAAAGCCAAATTATAAAAATTGTTTAACAGTAAATTATTAAAACATTAAACAATAAATTCTGTTCTGTATTATATGGCACAAGGTCAGGACACGTTATAAATACACCAACTAATTAAATAATTACAAAACAAAAATAAAAATTTTAACAATTGAAATTTATGCTAACCTGGACTAATTTGCTGACCAGGATATCCAGGAGTTACTTGAGGTTGTTGAGGAGGATATCCAGGACTTATCTGTGGTTGTTGAGGAGGATATCCAGGACTTACCTGGGGTTGTTGGTAACCAGCACTAACCTGTGGTGGATATCCTAAATTTAAACAAATATTAGTTATATATAAGAGATAAAACTCAAAATATAATGCTAAATGCTACACAATTCTTATTTTAGATAATTCATTCCTCAGATAATTCTAAACATTATAGAGCCATTAAACGTTTTCAAAAACAAAATTTCATTAACCAAAAGAAATTTGTTCATGAAATAGAACACCAAACTTAACGTCTATAATTAGTATCATGCTTTGCAGTTTATACAAGTAAACATTAAATTAATTTAGAAAACAAAATAAATGGTATTTTTAGTATTTTTCATTAGCACAATATAATATGCAATTCCTAAAAACATAACATTTAATTGTTTAACCTTTGGTCTAAATTGTTATTTAAAAATCCTCACTTAAATAATTGACAAAAAAATTTGAATAATAAATATTTGTAAAGGCAAGAAATATTTACACCTTAAAAAAAATCCATGAAATTGTTTTTTGTTTATAATATGTCAAATATTAAAATTCATAAGCACAATATGGTAAAACATCTGGTTTAATTTATCCAAAATTTTATTTTATATTTATTATCTGGATTTATTTTATTCAAATATCAATATTAAATTTCATAAAAACAATAATCCATCCTTGTTACTTTAATCTGACATGCAATGGTAAAAAAAAAGTCAATTATGACTTATTCAGGCATGCTGATATTTATAAATAAAACAGTTTAATATTTCATTAATTTTAGATTATTCAATAACACACCCACAACACTGAGAATTTTTTTAAAACAATATCAATTATAATGCCCATAAGCAGGGTTCGTTGATTTAAATCATCTTGATTTAAATCATGATTTAAATCAAATGATTTTTTTAAAAAAATCATTGATTTAAATCAACAAATTATTTATATATATATACTATATTGATATCAAAAGGTAAAAAACAGTGTTTTAAATAATTGATAATTTTGTTATTTTCTTTTCTTAGTTTTAAAATTTATTTTAAATAAATTGCTGCATTAATTAATTTTAGTTAACGAAATTACTTTCTTTCTTGGAGTGTGTTAAACACATTTAAAATTACATGTTTAAAAATCTTTTGATTCTTAACATTGAAAGTACAGATTAAAGTAAATATTTAATGCTGTCTTAATATAGACTTGCATAGCTGTAAAAAGTAAATAAACATGATTTTTTTTTCAAAAAGAAAAAAAAGCAAATGTTAATTAAAATTCTACCTTTTGATTAAAAAAGCATGGAATTCAAATCTACATTATAGTTTATTGATGGAAATTTCTATATTTCTAAAGCTTGAGGTTATATTAAAAGGAAATTACCCTAATATGCCAGAAATAGAAAGAAAAATAAAGGATAATGAATTCAGATATTTTTTTCCTGATATAGTGTCATTCTTCCCTTTCAAAGTCTATTTGAAGCAGTAGGGTTTATAAACTGGTATTTTTTTTTCTTCTTATAATATGTTTACGGTATCTTTGAAATTATCAGATTTTCTTTTGTGAAAAAAATTCCAATGAGTACATAGATTTTTTTTAAATGTTTTTTAGCTTAACTTATCTATTTTGATATAGGATTAAAAATGAATATTTTAATATAAAAATATGTAGATTAAATATTTATTTTTTGATGAATGACTACATTTATAAACACAATCTGATACATTGATTTTGTCATTTTAAAAATTCTGAACAAAAAAAGAAATCACAATTTGAAATTAAAGTTATTGTTTGCTAATTGAAACCTTGTTTTAAGTATAATTTATATTTTCTATTTCATCTAATCTTTAAATTTCAATCATGCATTTGTTTCAAAATGGTTGCTATGCATTCAAAACTATGTATTATAATGAAAAATTATTTTAGTAAGTCAGAGCTTCTAAAATATTGTTATAATATAGTTTTAATATTAATTTAATTTTGTCTAAACATTTATAAAGTTTTATTAATCATAAATTAAAGTTCTTACAATGTGTTCGAAAAAAAATCTGATTTAAATCAAAAAAATCGGATTGTTTTGATTTTTTTTAAAAAAATCAAAATAATCATGAACCCTGCCCATAAGAAGCTTAAACCTCTACTCATTTTTTAAAGCTAACTAATTTTTATGATAAAAAATTTAAGGCAAACTTGAAAAAAAAAAAAACATAACTGTTTATTTATTTAAATTAGTTTTATCATTCACAATTGGTAAATTTGTTTTTATACATAATTATATCAGTAAAGGTCATTTATATTGATGCTAATTTTACTCATTGATCGGCCAACACAAGCGGCATTTCTGCTCCAAGAAAATGACAGAGTAAAATTGGAATAGCTTGCGAAAATTCATATATCTTCGATAATATTTTAAAGTCAATGAAAGTAATCCTTAAAAATGACCAACCTCCATTAACAACCTGACAGAATTTAAGTTGGTTGCCCCAAGAGGTTTCACTGTATTAATTTATTTAAAACTTATGAATATGAATTACAACAATTTATTAAAATTGCTACAATTTTAATAAATTGAAAAAAAAAAGAATATTGATCACAACTACTTATTCAATTTATTCTACCAATAACACCAATAGAGAACAATTATTTTCTAAATGTACTGATAAAAATTTCAAAACTTCGACCAACTAGCAAAAATTTCTGTCTCAGTATCTACTAAAGTGAAAAATATTGAAAATGTTGCAGGGTATACTATATATTAGGGGTCCACAACCATTTTGAGTGAAGGGCCATTTGCATAACAACCCCCAACGATTATATTTATTTTCATAAATTTGTTTATGTAAAAAAGGCAATATTTTCAAAAAGATATCAATTATTTAATTTTTAAATACATTTTACTTTTTAAAAGTATCTTATTTTCCATCTAGATGTTACTAAGTTGACTGATTAAAAAAGTCTAGTGCTTATAACACAAATTTCTATTTAAAAATGACGCCTCGTTATGACCTGCCCTTCGTTAGTCATCCTGCTGTGCAAGTGGCAGGGGTATTTCCACACCACCTACAGTTGCTAAGCCCCCAAATTGATTTTAAATGGAAAAAGTTTTAAAAAAACAAAGCATGTAGAGGTATGCTGGGGGTGGTTACAAGTTATACCCTTTGAATTGGTTTTTTTCTGTCATGCTTTTTTTAGTTTCTAGCAGGCAGCTGCTCGGAAGTTGAAAAGACTTGTCGATTATTCTGTCACGTAATATGGAAATCTTCCTCAAGTGGTCTTTCACTGAAATTTGTTGTCCATCTTTACCATGCATAGAAAAAATTATAAAAGAAAAAACATTTTCATAACCCTTCCCCAATAAATTTTCTTATATTCTTAGGATTTTTATAGGATAAAAAACAGTTTATAAATTAAAGACTAGTCTCCTAATTACTAATCTTCCAATTACCTTGTTGAGGATAGCCAGGTCCAGAGTTATGAAAATCTCCCATTGCTTGAAAATTCAGAAGTGGTTGTTGAGGGACAGTATTCGAATTTGGTGGATAGTTTGATAATATAGGTGAAACTGGCGGAGGATATGGATTCTGCTGATCTGGTGAATAGCTTTGATTAGAATGTCCAATAAATCCTAGATTAGGAGGTTGTTGATTGTACATGCTGAAAGATAAAACAAAAATGTTGATTTAATCAAAGTATCCCTCATAGTACTATGATTCACCCTAATAATTCTTTTATAAATGGAACTACAATCCACTGTAGGCTATTTCTTGCTGAACAAGGTTGTTCCAAACATTCCTGTTTTTAACCTTGGTTCTGAAATTGGTAATTTTATTATGCAAAAAAAAAGCAAATACAATATTATGAAAAAAATAAATAAATACAGTAATATAATCTTTTATTAGTAAATATTTAAGAAATTTTAAAAATTGTACTACTATTTAAAGAAAAACAGTAAGAAAGTAAAAATTAATAACTAAAATATAAATGAAATCACTAAATTTTAAAATGGGAAAAATTTAAAAAAAAAAATAATATTTTTAACTTCAAAAAAAAAAATGATACATTTAAGATTATTATTTATCGATGTGAGAAGTAACAAACATTATAATTTTAAAATTATGTCAAATTTGAATAAAATTAAAGTTGAATATTGAGAAAATTACAAACAAGGAAAATTAAGCACAAAAATATAGAAAAACAAAATATTTTGAAATCTGAAAAATCAACAATACATCAATGAATTATATATTATTTTATTACTATTTATATTATTTTTATATTTATTTGGCCTTTTTTTAATTTTTTTAAAGTCTGGCTAAAAGTCTCACAGATAAAATTATCAATTGCAGAATAATTAACTAAATATTTTAATTTAAATTGAAAATATTTTTAAATTACATAAAAATAAATGAAAATACAATAGAATGGAGAACAAAAGAACTAATTTAATAACTATTTATAACAATGAATGATATAATCTAACATTATTTCATACTAATTAAAAGAATTTTTTTTCTTATGATTTAGAAATCTTTTTTAACTAAAAGAAAACAATATAATTATAAAACTTTTATAATACATTTCAAAAAGGGAAAATTCAGAAAATTATTATTTAACTGAAAGAATGTAATACAATGTAAACTTTACCTACTTTTAGAATGAAGTAAAAAACTAACATTTGAAATTGCTGATATACCTTTATAAATTGAAAAATTAAGAAAAATTTTAGATGGATACTTTCTTTTAAAGCACTGCGCAACAGAAAATTAAAAAAGTGTCTATTATACCCTTCCTTTAACATAGTACATAATAGTTAATCTTTCTGGCAAATCAGAAACCACATTTAGCTCATTTGTTTACCTTAATTTTGTATTGTTTTTGTGAGACCAATGTTGCACCAATATTTGCCACATCCCATTTTCCTTTACATAAAAATCGCTTACCATCTCATTAATTTTTCTTAGGGCATTTCGGGAGATGAAATTATAATAATTCAAGTAACTCCCATTGTCCCCAAAGCATTTTCTCGAAGGAACATTACTCAATAGGCTTGAGTCTTAATAAGTGACTGTCATCTCTATATTAGCAGATCGTAAATTGTCAGGGAAAGGGGGAGATTTTCGTATCGTGACGTGCAGCAGAATAATAGCCTAGTCTTGGTATCTTCCGGGCAGTGGTCCGTGAGAGATACTAAAAAAAAAAAAAATTTAAAAAAAAAAACATCACAGAAAGGGATCAACTCGAATGGAGTTGCCACACCATACAGCCACCCCCAGGCAAACACACATCTACAAGTGTTTTATTAAAAAATTTGCAAGTTTAAAATCTATTGGCACCTTGGCGATTGTAGTTTGCGCGGAATATCACGATATGGAAATATTCTCCAGAAAGTCATCATTACTAGTGAAAAGATAAGGAATAGGGAAATAGGATAAGGAATAAGAAATACAAGGAATACTAGATTGTTACACAGCTTAAAGGGTTATTTTGTTACCAGAGTACTAATAGAAAGGGGAGTAAAACGTAAATTTTAAATTTTTTTTAAAAAAATCTAACCTTACTAGACCCTGGCGCCTACTTACTCGGAGTCCTATGCAGCCGCTTACTAGGCTTACGAGCCTGAATCAAGCAATATTTTTCTGCCAAGTTAGGACCAATATTTAATTAAAACTATCTCCTTTAGATAGATAAGACAAAAGTTAGATACGTAGTTTAGATATTCAGGTCCATTAAAGCAAAATTAAACATCTTAATTTTGATCTCATAGTGCTTGATTTTGAAAGAACTTAACTGGAAAAATGTTTGAGCCTCATTAGGACCAAGGCAAGACTGCTGTTGGGAATTCAAGCATAATATTTATTATAAAATCACAAAAGCAGGCTATTTCAATCAGATCTGTATGTCCTCAATTTTAGATTACTATTTTTCATATCAACAAACATCAAATGATTTTTTTTCCTCTATCATTGTATAGGTGCAATAACAAACATTCAAAATCTGGAAGACAGCAACAACCAAAACTCAAGAGTATCAATACACAAATGCTAGGAAGGACTTATCTAGGTAGTAATCTAGGTAGAGTGTGAAAAGGCATATTGTTCTTATAAAAATTTAGAAATATAAAAAGGTGTTAGGAAAAAGTGTTCATATTAAAATGTATTAAATTAATGCAATAGTAAGATAAAGGTTTATAAATATGTCTTCATGTCATCATTCTAACTTCAAGCACTAATTATAAAAATACATTAGCAAGTTAATATTATTACACTAAAAATTTCAGGGTAGTAATACCTATAGATAGTACCTTTTAAACGTTACATATAGTAGTAAAATAACTTGTTGATATATTGTGGCATTTATGTATATTAATTACGTATGCTTAAGTTTTGTAACGTTTAATATACTGATAAGAAATAAAAAGAATATCTTGGGTATCTCTGAAACCAAAGCTGAACTACAATGGCTTGGAATACAAACATATTTTTAAAATTATTTCAATGCAGCATAAAACAAAATGAGCGGGTTATCAGCATTTCGAATTCATACTCTATTAGGGCATTTCTAATTAAAATGACCAAGAATATTAGAGGACAAGCAAAATTGCATTTTCTTTGTTCAATATTAAACAGTAAGTCTTACATTTTAGAGGGATCAAGTCAAAACTTTCCAAAATAATGTCTTCCAAGAAATTCTGAAACTTTGATCTTTAAATACAGCTTCTGATTTAATAAAAAGAGAAATAAAAATGTTCATGGAATTCTGACAACATGTGACAGCCCGCTTAATATACCTATTGTTTGTTTTAGTTTCAGTTTCATAATGTCCTGTGTTAGTGATTGGACAAATATCTTGTTGCCAATCAAAATTAGCTAATTATTTTTCTAGCTTATAGCATTTTGTTTCTGACTTATGGAAAATTTTTACTGGAGCAATTGGCGATCGAAATGGGCTGCAGGTAGCGTAGAGCAGAACTCTCTACCTATGGCAACACTTTGTATGGTTTCACCATTAACGGATGGAGAGTCATAGAGGAAGGAAGTACGTTAGTTTCTGTCTTGATCTTCATGTAGATTAAAATCTTTTAATTTTTAAAACTATATGGAACTAAAAACTACATTAAACATAGTTCCAAAGGAAAGTATCATAAGAAAATTTGAAAAGTATTTTTATTAAATGAAAAGGAAAAATATTAAGAAAAGGGAAAATATCGTAGTATGTACATTCCTATACAACTGAAAGGAGGAGGACAGGGAAGGGAAAAGAGCCAAAGGCATGAAAAACTCTCCCCAGATGGCGTATTCAAGCGTTCTAATCGCCTATTAAACGCGTCAAGAGCTGCAGGAAAGGTATTGTTCCGATGATGAATGTTTATACCCATTTTTGTATCTTTTAATTAATGCATTAATGGCATTTACAAGTGAGGTTTCCTTCTACTGTTAATATTTAACGTTAAATTAAATGGCGTGAAGTATTAAAAAATTATCAGAATTGACATAAAATAACTGAATATCTATAGTTTGTAAGAAAGAACCCCTTCGCCACTGCATGGAACCAAGAATTAGGGGATCATTTCAATGAGGGGATCTTCACTCTCCCTTGATTCCTTTTCTCTCACCGACTAGAACCAAAAGCCTTCTTAAAGTTTTATCTAAACATCGTAATAGTCACAGTAACAGCTCCAGACGAAATCAAGGAGATTTCTTTCTTTATACAGACTATAATGTTCTCTTATTTAAATGATATTGGAGGTTACGTTTGCTATCCTAGGTGCTTAGTATATGTCAAAGGGGAAAAAAACTGTGGTGTAAAATTAAGCAAAATTTAGTGATCTCATACAATACCAACATTTCTCCACAGACATTGAAAATTTCATCATCTTGTAGTTTTTGATAGTAGGAAAGAGAAACGCACTCGTTGAAAATTTTCAAAAACAGTGACGACNGTCATAAACAACGGAAATAGTTTAGATAATTACAATTAGACAAATTACAATATTAAAATAATACAACTAACTTTAAGATATTAAATCAATCAAAGCTTATGACTTTGCATTGGCTCGCCCCCCCAGTCAAAAAAAAGTTGGCACGCCACTAGTCAACGAGTAGAATTCTCAATATCTTTTTACTAAATCACACAGTCTGTGCTTTTAGAATTAAACCTTTTTTTTCTTTCAGGTTTAGATGATTATTTTTCAAATCCAGGTTGACCATGTCATTATGATTAACATGCGAACGAAATTTACTTACATGAAGCTAAAATAATTCATATTTTGAAACCAAAATATTTTGTGTTTTTGTAGAAAATATTTACGTTTAAGAAGAAATTAATAATGATGAAATGAGAATGAGGTGAAAAGGAACGAGCAGGGGGTTGAGCTTCCTAGTCTTTTTTTAAATTTTCTTTTTTAAGTATTGAGACATAATAAAAAAAAATATAGCAGTCATGAATATCTTTTTGGTATGACGTGCTTATAAATTCCAATAATTACCTTAATATTAAAATTTTATTCAAAATTAAGAATAATGTGGAAGCAAATATGTTGTTATTTATTATGCTGATTCATTTAGAAAAAAAAACATACTAAGGGAAAATCACTAGGTAATCTCTTTAAAATGTAATAGAACCGATTTTTTTTAAAAGTTGAACGTTAAATTACAATGTAGAAATTAAACTGCAATAAAACATCAAGTTATAAGCATCAATATTACTTAAATAAAGAAAAAAAAATGAAGAAAAACATTCTTCCAATAACTTCAAAAAATAAAAATGTTTTAATCGGACAACTATGAAATTGCCCTTCGTTGGTTGATACCTAAGACTGAACAATAATCTCACTAAATACGATGTTTTTATCTATGAACATATTATCATTATGCTCCTAGATAATATATTGAAACATAAAATATGATGTTAAAAAAAAAGTGATATACACTTCGGTGCAAAAAGAATTTGAAAATTAACCACAAAAAGAAGTAAAATAACGTAAAAAAAAAAAGAAAAAAGAAAGGAACTAAGTGAACTATTATAAGTTTAAACATTGTTTTTTCCTTTCACCAACAGTGCATCATAAATATTTTTTTTTGTGCCAACTATGTAGTTATAAAATAATGAGGATAGTATTAGCTAAATTTATGGAATTATGAAAATGTTTTACTTTCCTCGATAATTCTTCGTAATAATTATTTAATTATTTATTCAAAAAAAAATTTTGTCGAAATTTTGGTTGCAAATACGGTTTGGAAAAAATGTTACGTGAAATACATTTAAAAACATTAAATGTAGCAAAAAAAAAAAAAAAAAAAAAAAAAAAAAAATTNTTAAAAAAAAAAAAAAAAAATTCGATACAAATAGAAGCATTACATTTCTTTGCCAATTCTGTATCGAACGGAGGATAGATAAAACTAGAAAAAGTAAAAATAATAAATAAAACAAACAAAATAAAGTCCTTTTCAAAAATTTAGGAAAATAAAAAGGAATTTTGCATTTTTGTTTCATTCACATATAAATAGTTTTAGTAACAAATGGTTTTAGAAAAATAAATAAATAATAAAACTATGATACTATTTGCTGACTTCGGCTAATGTCGCTGTATTTTGGGCTCTAAAGCTCTATAAAAGCGAATTAAAGTACATAAATTATATCATGCAAAATTGTGTAATTTTTTTTTTCTAAAAAAAAAAAAAAAGGACTCAATCTTTTATAGCTCAAAAAAAAGGGGGTAACAATTTCTTGCTTCTCTGCAATTAATGCACAATAGACTTTGATCAGAACCAGTTCAGGGAAAGAAGGAATAGNACTTGGTGATGGCTAAAAAAAAAAAAAAAAAAAAAAATCAAACTGGTGACCTTTAATGAATGGATGACTCATCTATTTGAATCGTTTATTTATATTCATTAATGCAGAACACTTTGCAGCATATAGATTCTATAATACACTTAGAAGAAGACAATGTTTAAAACTTTCGCTGCATTACTTTTAGATCTATCCATCTTTCTATTCTATTTCTGTCAATTGTATGCAATAAAACTATTTATTCCTTGTGGTCGGAATTAATGAGTTTTTTCAAGTCAATTCCTACGTAGGTCAACAATAAACTTTTTTATTTTAGTCACTTGTTTTAAATAACGTTTCAATTATTTTTCATTTGCAAGCTTTTCTTGGCGCTTTTGTTTTTTCGTTCTCTAATCGTCGCTTGTGTTGTGCTATATTTTCTTTTCGCTTTCCTTTCGCATTGTCCGTTTGGGAAGCAATATTCTCTCTCTCTCACACACACTTTCTCTCACTCTCACTAATTTATTCATTTTCCATTTTGTTCCCACCTTGATTCAAACTAGAATCTGAAAAAGACAATTTTTTTTTCTAGCGATCCACACGCTTCTCCACTGACTTTATTTATTCCTAAATTCATATCCCGCCAAATATCTTATGTAAGAGAAATTTTTTTCTCCTATTTAAAATGAATTATTTTTATTTAATGAATTAATATCTGAAAAAAAAAACTGTTTTAACATCAAGTGTCGTCCATTACAAGTTTAAAAAAATGTTTTTGAACTTGAGTGGATGAAAAAAGAAATATTTTATTAACGATTGAAAATTTGAACAAGATATATAAATATAGGGTGAACTAATAGTAGGAATTGAAAAGAGTGACCATATTGTTTCAAAATAAATAGCATTTTTTAACTTTTCAAAAATATTTTTTAAATATTTTTAACAAGAATCTAAACATTCCTCTTTTATACTAACGAAATTGCAAAGATATGCTTAAATTAAAAAAAAAAATTGATTAATTATATCGTTAATTTGAAAATATGTAAAAATTATTAATTGCGTAAATACTGAATGTGGAGGGCGAGTATGTGAACTGTTTAAATACGAATTTAGTTGGGAATATCCAAAGAATTTGAAATATTATAAGTATACTATTAACACGTTGAATGCCACGCTAATTTTACATGGCTTGACCGTCTGGCCAAAATTATTTTCTCAGTATGTATTGCATTAATTCATTCAAACCATTTTAGTAACGATAATAATATAAAAAAATTAAAAGCATTAAAAATTTACTCGAATTATGTGTTTCTAATAATCTTGACTTCGCCGGTCACCGGTGACCCCCATGAGGTGTTAATGAAAATTATGTTAAGACAATAAAAACAAAAATATTGAGTGAAAAAAATGTAGGCGTATTTTTAAAGTTTCATTCTTATAACATTGGCGTCTAACAGTTTTTTTGTTTTTGTTTTTTTCTTTCTTTACTGAAACGATTCAGTGGCATAATGTGGGTATTACAGATACATCTTTACTTCTACTTCAGTATATATCTTCGGACAGAGTAGACTAAGATATTCACTTCGAAGTTGAAAGATGTCCTTTTTTGAAATACAAATAGCTTCCCCTTTTCGTAAAGTACATAGAATGATGCCATATCGACAAACAATTCTACTTATTCTTCGGGAGAAAGTTTATGAAATCCGTCAAAAGAAGTACAACTAACGAGTTCGGTACATTTTTGCAAAACTGTTTCCGGCTTTTTCTGTCCTATTGGCTTATCGAATTCCATTTTCTTATTCCTCAATATTTTTGGGCTTGCATTTTTTTCATTTTTATTCGCACTTGGGCCTGAGATTCGGCGAGTTTTAAAAACAATATCCATCATTCTACAGACATCTGGTAGAATATGAGGCTCAAAATTATTTTCATGAAATACTTTTTCCTGATACTAGAGTATCTACATCTATCTTTCAAATTTTTGTTAGAAATAGTTTCTAAAAAGAACCTTATTTCTCGTCTCGTTCGACACCTATTAGGCATAAAATTGCTAAGAGAGCAAGCAAAATTGTTAATAAAAAAAAATTCATTTATTTTAAAACTTCATTGTTAACAACAAATGTATCACGGAAATAATATAGATTTTAAGAACTGGAAATTCCTCCTGAGTTATCTATACAAAAATCTATTCAATATCATTGTAGCAAATTTATAGGGACACTCAAATTCGAATCCCAGAGATACGAATTTTGCTTTCGACTAGCACCTAACAAAGTATAGAAGTTAATTATCCCCAAAAAAGGTAGAGAAATCATGGGTTAGAATCCTCATACCGAGTCGTGGGAAGTTTTCGTGGCTTTTATCTCCAGATAGCGCGACTGTGAGTTAGTTCCATCAAAAAGTCGTCCTTAAAGGCTTGTTTGTTTCAATTCCTTTGTCTTCTGGATTGGATTCAAAATTACAAATTTACGCAGTTGAACATCGATAGTAGTAAACATAAGAATGTGCAATGCCAGTGATAAAAAAGGAAAAAAAAATCATTGTGGCCAACACTGTGAAAAATACATTTGGAGCTGTTTAAATATAATGTAATCATATTTTTGAGAATTCTGGACACTCCTTCCACTTTGTCAGCAAAATTAATCAAATCCCAAACTCCCTCCTATGCTTACGTAAGAAAGTTGTAACACGTCAAAACTAATGCAAAATCATATTACGGTGAATGCTAGATAATATCAGTTCGCATAGAATCTATTATTATGTAATACAGAACAAACAGCGACCTTTTATATCTTTCCAATATTAAAAGTTGTGCAAGATAACGCTAGATTTTACTGATTTTCTGATGTTATCTAATATTACGCGCTACTCGAGAATTAAGTGAAATGTAACTCAACATATCATATGAGATCTAAAAATTGAACTCTTGAAGCTGTTAATGTCTCAGAAATGGAACATTTGATTTTAAAATAATATTTCAAATTTCAAATTTGGCACCGTTTAAATTACGCTTTTATAAAATGGTTAGTATTAGATTGAGTTTTCCAAACTTATTTATTAAATTAACAGATAATGTCAATCATCTTAAATTCATAAAAAAAAATCAAACAATTATAGAAACGAGATAAAACTAAAAGCAAAAAAATACTTCATTAAGTAAATTTTTAAATGTATGTCCAAAATTTTGTTCGAAATTTAATTGTCCGCCAAGTTCAAACACAAAGTCCATATTCCATTCTTGGAACATAGGTATCAGGTAAACGCTTTATGGCAAAAGAGATGAAAGAAACTATGCTGCGCACAAAGCAAACGTTATTATAATCAATAAAATGGCGTTAAGTTTGACGGGGGGAAAACATTAGTATAGAAACATGGGATAGTTTTTTTTTTTTCAAGATTGTTGTTGTAGTTAATTTACGTCGCACTAGAGCTGCACAATGGGTTATTGGCGGTGGTCTGGGAAACATCCCTGACGATGATCCGAAGACAAGCCATCACAATTTTGATCCTCTGCAGAGGTGATGGCACCCCCGCTTCGGTAGCCCAACAACCTGCACGCGAAGTCGAGCACTTTACGGTAGAACAATTTAACGAGGACCCATACCGCACACCCTCAGTCCCTACGCAAACTGATCCAAATGGTCTTCCACCCGCACACTGACAGCAGTCAGTGATGCTTGACTTCGGTGATCTGCTGGGAACCGTGTCTTAACGATCAGTCCACTGCGGAACTTTTTTTTTTTTTTTCGAAGGAGAAAGTAAAATAATTTTTAGAAGGTGAAGGAGTAAAATAATTTTTGGAAGGTGAAGGAAAACTTCAGTTTACAAATAACTATAAAGAGAAAGGAATTGAATTACACGCAAATTATAAGCAAATTAGTATTTTTCTTAATTTAATTCAGAATTCAGAGATAAAAATCAGAATTCATACACATAAGATTTCAAACTTAGGAAACAAGTGCAAGGTGTGCCTTATTGACCACTTTACTACACATGAAGGCAAAGAACAATTAAAGTCCATTTTTAACAAAAATAACGATTGGATCACGACTTGTTGCATTTCGAAGATTTTTCTAAGTATTGACAAATCAATGACGCTGAAAACCAGTAATTGCCGGGAGTTATTACACTTTGAAGATGGGCCATGCTGGGGAAAACGGTTCCAGTCCACTCGTAGAAAAGGCAAACTGATAAAAGGATAGAGAAGACGACGATAGTTCTTTTGAGGAAGTATTGGAGAGGAATTTAGTGGAAAGTTTTTGAGAAATCGAATTTTAAAGAAGTCGTATAGATAAAAATTCGATTTCTCAGGAACTATTCAACCGATTTCTCTCAAATTTTGAATTTTGCCATGTAAAACTACATACTTTGAAATTAAGTTAAAAAATATACACCTTTTAATTACATATTTTTACATTGCATTACTACTATTAAATGAAATGATAAAAAATAATAAATATTTTATAAAATTCATTATTTGCATGTTGGATTAACGAATTTTAAAATTGTGTGCAAATAATTTCAAATTCACTTAAGAAGCTCGCTCACTGTGCGAAATACGAAAAAAGTAAAATTAACATTAAAAGACCTTAACTCTGGCCCGCTTTCCAATCTAAACTACGGTG